GTGAGTAATTCATTAAGATGTGAAGGGTAGGAAGTGAGTGAAGGTTGAGAAAAGTGTCAGAGCATCAAACGTTCCATATTTCATTTGAAATTAGAACTTTGCAGTGTCAATCTATGCATTGATATATTTATATATCTAAAAGTGGGTTGTGGGATAGACTTACCTCTTCGTGGTGTACCCTGGGCAACGTATACACATACGGCAAAAAGGTCTATTAACCGGCAGTTGAATTCTCACTTCAAACAGCCATCACCCCCACTGTATGTCATATTCGGCTCCTACCACAGTACTCATCTTACCCTTTCTGAGCCTTTGTGTCTGTCTGTTTCTTTTACATCTGTGAATCACTCTTCTACTCCCCCTTCTGAATTCTTCTCACTTTGATGTTCCTCCCCTCTCTGAAATCCGGAGTCAACTAAAGGGGTAATGACAACTATCAAAACGCCTGCCATTTGTTATAAGTAAATATATCTAAAAGTTAACTCATAAGATAGAAAGTAATTATTAATTTATAAAGGACATTGCATAGTATTTAAGGAGCCAATTGGAATTGTTCATTTTAATTGCTGAATGTGTACAAATGAGAAAAAATCAAGTTTGTGAACACTGACTTTGTAGAATAGCGCTTTGGAAAATGAAAAGAAGCGACCTCTCACGAATAATTATATTTTTAATTAGATTTAGGATAGTGCATAAATGTTGATAATCGTCTGTTAATATTAATTTGAAGAAGTCCAATTTTTTATTAAAATTTTAGACAGATTTTTAGGGATTCAAAGGAGAATATCCTCCCCCCGCCGTCTTTGAAAATCTTGTACAATATGGCAATTACACGATAATTACTTCACAATATTCTCATGGAACGCAGTGATCTTCTGTGAGAATTTACATGAAAGGATGGTTTTACGACCACCGCGTCATGATCCCCAGGAATATTTATGATCTCATTTAGCCATTTGACGGAATCATTAAAATCACACACAGGTTTTATGATTGTTGGGAAGTTGCATAAAACGTCTTCCAAGGAAACGTCGACGGTTTTAATCGAAAAACTCTCTAGACATAAAAAAGGTGGGTACGATTTCGTGCTCAATGACTTTCTCGAAAGACGCATTAAAAGAAGTTGGATACACTGGAACTTTTCGTGGAGAATTGTTTCGGTCATATTAAGCAATTACCGTTTAATTACTTGCCTAATGCCTCCCGTTCATTATTTTATGTGCTCAAAACACATTCGCCCATCCGTTCATTGAGTACTTCTGCCCAATTAGGAATAAAAGTACAAGATTTGAAATTACGGGATTATGGTAGCTATTTTAAAAGCGTAGAGATTTCTGACTTCCCCACTCTTTGTGCATCACCTAATTCCAGATATATTTTTTTGTGGCATTCGGGCACCTTCTTGCACGACCCACCTCTTTAACACTTGTGATCTTTGTTCATAACATATCTAGATTTTATGTGGATTAGGTGGATCCTTTTCGTGGTCTTCTGGTGTTTTAGTAGAAATTCCGGTACTTAGGGACAATGACGTATCACAGTGACCTTCAATTGTCTTCAATTTGTTATAATGTACTTCCCACGTTAATAAATAATACCTTAATGAATTCTTTAGAGTACATCCAAACAGACATCTTAACTAAAGAATTTTGTAAACAGATAAAACAAATCTGACATAAGCATTCCATGCCTCATATATATAACAAATTATAAGCAGTTGAAAGATAATGGCGGAATTTTAATTCTCCAATAAGCAACTGGATCGAATAGTTGATTAAATAAACATGCGAAGTATGCGCCCTGGGTCAAATTAACTGCTAAAATTAAACGAAAAGCCATTTTGAACTACAATTTATTCTAACATATCAGAAAACGATACCAAAAGTGTACCATTAGTGATCATTTGTATGTTCCATAACTTCATTATTGAATTATTGAAGATTCATTGTCTAATGAAAATATCGCTTTTGTGGTAAATTTCAACTCGTTCTTACCGCCTTTCGCCGATGCTGCAGTGACATTGGAAGCTGTGGTGACTGCAAGAGCATCAGAGGTTGGAAGAGACGGCTGCAGTGGTGGAGTCGGCTTGTGAGTTTGTCCAGTTGCCCGATAGATTGCTTGAACCCACAGCTGTCTCTCGTTCTCATCATCTGTCGCGAAGTACATGCCATCACCCTCTTTCACCAAGTTGAAGAAATACCTCCCGCCGCCCAAACTGACCAGGTCTGAGACAAAAAAAGGAACAATGGAAAACAACTCTTTGTCTAAAAAATGCATCAAGTCGAATGAAAGCATACCATCCTCAAACTTGGTTTTTTGCGATTTCAAAATAAGTTTAAACTATTATTGTGGTGAATTGGAGAACAGAAATAGAATGTTTGTAGAGCTCACAAGGAACTGCACATGTTTTATATCTTCCGAGCACTTATCGTTTATTAATTTTCTTGGGCATGATCCAAACCTGTTCACTCTTGACGTTTTGTGTTGACCCACACAGCTGTTGGTCCATCTTATATCAGTCTTATTTGCACTAGCACAATAGTAGGAACTTTTATTCACTCCAAAACTATCCGATAATGCCAATGGCTCTCTGAAAGGTATTTTTTTCGACTTCGAAACAAAGCAGCCCTTAATGCTTATAATTAATATAAGAAAGAATTTTATATGTATTGTTGGGCTGTCCACTGCTCTAAATTTTTGGTGAAATGAAAGCTCAGTAAAATTCATGCCTTGGTGCAGGGCGATGTGATTTCTCATTGTATGATTTTTCGCCCTAATTCAAGAAGAAGTGTTAAAGTAATCTCTTTCAGTTAGTCCTGGAATTTCATTATGCAAATTCAGTTGCAAGTGACTTTTAATCATTAGAACAACATCCAAACAACAATCTGCAAAAAAAAACGTTTGAAATATTTTGCTAATAGATGAATCTATTAAAATAACTCTGGGTTTTTTTCACGATTGAATTATCATCAATTGAAAATAGGTTTAGCAACATTCTGACCACATAATTGAAAGAACAAAAATTTTTTTTGATTAAGGGGAAATACGGAGGATACCTTTTTCAGAACTACAGTAGAGTCTTTTTTATTTCAAATAGCACGATATTTTTTTCTATTTTTAATTTTAAAACAGATTAGACGCAACGACGCGTAGATACTCAAATCGTCACCTAATTCCACGCGGCTAGGGCGATCGCGATTGGCGCAGATATAGCTAAAGAAACCGTTTCCTGAATTAATCAATTTGTTTGCAAATAGCGAATAACTTTCCCGATTTCCGCGTTTACAATCCCCTGTATCATTCACCATCAAGTCTGAACCTTCTTTTCAAGATTTCATTTAAATCTAAGCAGTCACAAAAGATTTTGTCTATGTATTATATTTTTAGCAGTTTTAGCATTTATAAATAATTTGGTTAATATGGGAAAATACGCCATTGGCTATTGCCAAAGTTCTCTTTCAGAACCCCCAAAAAGTCAAAATTAGAAATGGCAAGTAAATGAAATATTTTAGACAAAATTTAAAATCTGTGTTATTACTGCAACCTATCTTTTCTCCTTATTTTTGATATTCACACGTCATTTACTGAAAAGCGAATAATGGCACTTTTTGCAATATCGATCTTAATTCCTCAGGAATTTATGTTAAAAATACTATATTTAGTTCTATTTCAGTTGTAAAAAAGCAAATTTTGTGAGGCAAATTCTTAATTATCTAAATTTAAAGATGTATGATTTCATGTCAATCAATCAATAATACTTAACTATTGAGGCCAAATTAAATTATCTAAATACTCTTCGAACTTTCTGGATAATTTTTAATGATGTCTCAGTGCATCGTGTTACTCAGTATGGGGATTTCGTATCTATTGCCAACTAAAGTGTAGTCGTCAGACAGACAAAGAACTTGGAAATAATGTCGACATTTAAAGTCCTATCAAGTTGGTTAGTAAGAGAAAAGGCTTATAGGAAATCCAAAGCTTTATTTTAGCATTCCCACCTATTTGTTTAAATGAATGTAAAACTGACCAATTAGCTTCAATTCCTTCATTTAAACAATAGATACTGAGGGAAAATACCTTGGAGGATAGATTTAAAAGCAGATCAAATCGAATTTAGGCATTCTTCACTTTTTGGAGACACCTCCACCATTACTTTAATTATTTAAGGTTGGATTTTAGTAGAAATAAATAATTTAATAAATGAAAAAGTAGACAGATATTTTCTTCTCCCCTCGCCCTTCAATCGTACTCACCATGTTGTGGTTCACAGTAATCCACCGTGTATCCATCAAGCGGCATAATTTCCAGCGGCTCAGATTTGCGCTCCTTATAGGATGCCATAATGAAGGTGTACTGTGAAACCTGAAAATATTTTTTTAAAACCAAAATCATTTCCAATCATATATTGCTTCTTAAACTACACTACAGTAAATGATTAAGGCAAGAATGATAGGAATTTCTTCTTAGAAAATTTACTTTTGACATATAATCGATATCTGTCATTTAAATTTGAAGACAGTTTAAGGGGAGAGATATCTAACCTCAACTACGTTATAATTGACATTGAATTAAGCTCAGATTGTTTTTATTCATTTATTTGCACATTTCTTGCGTTGAACTAACTAACTTCGAGACTATCGAACTAACATTCTTGAGAAGATCACTTATACATTGACCTTCAATTCTGTGCATGATTACCATCTGTTTATTTTTATTTTGCACTCAGCTACAACTCCGTGAGTTTATTGTCCTGCATCCTCTGCATAATTTATTAAAAGCATGCCTCCCCATTGATCCACTACAATGAGACTTCTTGTTTCACCTGAATGAGGCAAATGTAGCGTTTCCGCCATTTCTTGAAAGCATTGCGACCAACAGCGTAGCAGTAGCCACAGTACTTGAGATTGCTGGGTTTGTCCATCCGAATTGTGAGCTGAATTCGTAGATCGTCGGGACAATTGCGGGTGGTTTGCATTTTGTACCATTCTGGAGCTCGACTACCGGTGCAAATTGGATTGATTATGACCTTAAATAAGCAACACAACTAATAGTAGAATTATGAATTAGTCGAAAGACACATATTTCTCTACATTATTCAATAAAATAATTCTTTTCATTTTGTCAGTTGCAGTTAATTGAGCATTAAATCTTCCAATATATGGACTTTAAGATTCGAACCGCACTGTTACCCTCGCAAGCATTATTGACTTCCCCAAATTGTTAAACTTTTATAATCCGCATGTCTAATTAATTCTAATTAATGCAAAATAATGGGTGGGGGTGGGGAGGGGGGGTAATGCCTAGATAAGACGCTTCTTTATACCTAGGTCCTAATAAATTCCTGTATATTTAGCAAACGTCTTTAGTCTTTGACAGGAAATTATTGCTGTGAACTTCCCATTCAGCAGTGAAAGTGTCACACCAAGATAAATCACCAAATTACATCACAAATTAGACCACATTCTGTTCTTGGCAAGGTTAAAAGTTTAAATTATTACGATGAGTTAAACAGTTAAGAATGATTAGAATGCACGTCGGTTATGGTCTGTAAGAAATTTTGTCCTGGATGAATAAATAAATGGAAACCTGTTATCAAGAAATATCAGAAGTGGAATGAAAATTGTGGAAAGCACTTAAAATTCACAGCACACGGCTACCCACAAATTCATTTTACTAATGAATGGGAAAAATTTGGCCATTAGAAATGTAGAGGATAAGAATGATGCTTAACTATAGTGCCAATCAATAGCATTTTATCAATAATCTCACCTTATTAGGTTGCGAATTGAACTGACCCCCACGTGGTGCACCCTAGGAAACGCATATTCATATAACTAGAAATTCAATAAACTAGCAGTTGAATACTGACTTCAAACTACCATGATCCCATTGTATGTCATGTTCAGCCACTTTCACAGTGCTCACCCCACCTTTTTTCTCTATCCTTCCGTCTGTCTCTTTTACATCTGTGAATCACTCATCTGTTCCCACTATCCACTTTTTGGGATTTTGATGTTCCTCCTTCCCCCACCCCTTTTAAATTAACTAAAGGTCTAATGATGACTATCAAAACGCCTGCCATTTGATATGCTTAAATGCCACTTTCCTTCTTCGTCAATTAAATGTATATAGTATGTGTAATAATAATCTAGACTGAAATACTGGAAAACCCTACGCTTTGCCTGTAATTCAATTCCAATGCAATATCATTTAGTTCAGACTTGCAACACCACAGTCAATTAATTCATTTGAAAAACTTTCTTTTGCAAATATTTTTTAAAAAAACCAATGCCGATTCTCAACCCCCCACCCTCCTTCAGCGCATACCTTCCACTAGCCAAAAATGCCGGTTATGTGAATAAGATAATTATCATTAATCAACCTATTAATTAGCGAACTCTCAATAAAGATAAAGAAAATTAAGAGTAATAAATAATAGTAAAAAGGTAATAATAGCCGTTTCATTCACTCGAGAGAACCCACGCATTTTCTTAATTATTTCATTTGAAACTACTTAATTTTTTTTTCGATTGAGTGAATCAATGTCAAATGGCAACTGTAAAGTTGTTTTTAATCCTAAAGCTAATTTGAAATGCTACATTCAAAAGAGTTGAAAAATTCTCCTGCAGAGCACTCGACGGCGTGAAACGGCTTTTGTCCGACCTTTTTTGCCCTCACAAAAATAGGCAGGAAACTAGAAAAAAAAACAACAACACAAAATTAAGTGAAAACCTTTTTTACGGATTGTTCCCCATCACATCATCTGTCGTACTTTCATATCATATTGGTGAATGAGGCTCTTAATATGTCACAAGAAATAATTGACATTTTAGCCAAACCGGCCGCAATAAATAACAAAAGATTTTCTTTACGTTCGACAAGGGAAAAGTGTAAATGGAGAAAAGTTTCGAAATCGAATTCAAAAAAGCAAGTGCCCAAGTGACAATGTAAATGTAACCTCACATTTGAATTGACAATATAACATTGGAATTTTTAAATAACGCGCCATCCTTTCAATACGCACCATGAAGGAGAAATATGAAAGAAGTTACATTGGTCGATTGGGGTGTGTGATAGACTTACCTCCACGTGGTGCACCCTGGGCAACGTATACTCATACGGCAAAAAAGTCCATTACCTGGCAGTTGACTTCAAACTACCATGACCCCACTGTATGTCATATTCGACTACTTTCACAGTACTCATCCCACCTTTTTTCCACCTAATCTACTTTCGTCTTTGATAC